CTTTGGCAACATTTGATGCACACGCCATTCCGAAATCGCAGGAGGGTCGGTGTAATGCACTACCAAAACGCCCGTAACTAAGAAACAAATGCTAATTCGATGATGCCGGCTGGCACACTGATTCACTATGAATGTAGGCCGCACCCCCTAAAGGCAGAAGCTCGTACTACATCCTTTTCGCCATCTATTGACACAGTCTCGAAACTTTCCGATCGCACCTCGTATTGCTTCTGTTGACATATTTTTATAGGTCAAAGTCTCTGGCAGTGTTTTCTGTTTCAAAAAAACCGACTACAACTTTCATAATATCTCTTTACAGGGTGCCCAGTGGAATCCGCCCAAAATTTCCTTATCGAAGGGTGGGAAAACATTGACAACGAGACGTCGTACCATAACATTACAGTTCGTCTGTCGCACACAGAAGGTAGGTTCAGTAGGACCAGTATAAAGTTTCGACTTGAAGCAGCTGCAGGGAAAGACGAATTGACGAGGCCTCGGAGAGGGCGCTCGTCATTAATTTCCACGACTTTCCATGACGTTTCTTCTGACCAAAAACTCGTAAGTACAATGGAAAATAACATGAAAACGAAGTTGCGACTAATTATTGTAACTCTAGTGAATATAAAACAAGAATCAAGCACGAACATTTACAGAACTGTCAATATTGGTCTTCTGGGTTGTAACGGCGTGTGAACTTATAGTAGATACCAAAAATCGTATAAATACAGCACGCCCAGTATGTCCGGGGTCATAGGATAACTCATATTTTGAAAAAAAATAAAAATTTGTTGCAAATCATGTGTTTTAAATTTCAAGTGTACAGTGTTGGAAGTTTTAACCTAGGAAGAATCGTTATGGCGCTAAACTCTTTGCATCATCACCAGTAATAGGTTTACAGTTTTCCTGGTTTCGTGTTTCCTTCAACAACCCCTCCTCCCACTCTCGCTGTCATATCATCGTGGAAACATTACCACAAGAATTTTACTACTGATGACGTAAACAGTGCAGCGCCATAGCGGCTAGTTCTACAAACAAAATTCCAACATTTAGGTTGAGTTTAAAATTGAACACCGTGTATATTCCACAAGATAAATATAAAAGTTAACTTGGGGGTTTTCAAGTAAACTGCCCTAAACAACTCACATTCACGCTTCACCAGGTTCTCTCATGTGAAATGTTATTCAACTCAAAGAATTCTGCAAGGAGCAGGCAATACGAGGTCGTTTGTAAGCCAGACGGGCAGAGTGAGCCCATAAAGCCTTATTGGCATTACCCATACACGTATAAAAACCCTTATAGCTGAAATTTTATTCTCTTTTAGGATATTTCAGAGAAAAAGAAATTGACGAGTGTTGGAAATTCAAAGTCAGCAATAGGCCGTATCCAGAAGAATCCATAAGCATGGACGTGGACTTCCTTAATGGCACATTAAAAAGTAACATACTACTCTTCACAGGTAAATCATAAATACATTATCAGTGGACTGCTTCAATTTTCGCTTTCTTGGTTCGTCATTTCAAATGTTGTATGTAAAATTGTCTACACAAATGAAAATGCATGGTAAAGAATGACGATAAATGTCTTCAAGCTTGTAAATGGACGCCGACGTTTAGGAAGAACAAATCCATTTACTGATTTGCTTTTGTAAATTTCTCTACAGTACAAATCTATTAATATGATAACCAAATTCCGTCACCGTTGACTGGATGAGTGGGCCATTCGTGCGATTTGTAAAAAATTTAGACTAAGTTCTGACTGTGGCGGCTGTTGTAGCAAGATATGAAAACGTGGCTGTGACGACTCCTATGGTGGGGTCTGGCGGAATCTGCTTTCAGCCACAGTAAATATATTTAAAACATGTAATTTACTTTACAAAGAAATGTTATAGATGTTGTACTTTCAGTTCTTATTCCCGTCAAATTTTACGTTAGTCGTACTAAAAAGCGAGGAACAAGCTTTTGATCAAGATAAAATAAGTGTATTCGTTTGAATTGATAGAATTAAAGTAGTCACACGTTCTCTTCCAGGTGAGAGGGAGTGCGATTATCTGTACAACAGCAATTACACTATTCAACAGTACGTTCGTGATCGGTAAGTTCCAACACTGCACACGGTAACACTGTCAGGCAAACCCTTGGTCTGATATTTTAGTGACCTTGACCTATCCGAGACCTCAACTTAAATGGCCATGATCATTCAGATACCTACAGTTCAGTAGGAAAAAACATGAGAAAAATGACCTTGAAAAATTAAAGGCCTCTGTCAGGAATACCCTTGGTCTGGTATTTTAGTGACCTTGACATTAACTTGACCTATCCGAGACCTCAACTTAACATGGCCATGATCATTCAGATACCTACAGTTCAGTAGGAAAAAACGTGAGAAAAATGACCTTGAAAAATTAAAGGCCTCTGTCAGGAATACCCTTGGTCTGGTATTTTAGTGACCTTGACATTAACTTGACCTATCCGAGACCTCAACTTAACATGGCCATGATCATTCAGATACCTACAGTTCAGTAGGAAAAAACATGAGAAAAATGACCTTGAAAAATTAAAGGCCTCTGTCAGGAAAACCCTTGGTCTGGTATTTTAGTGACCTTGACATTAACTTGACCTATCCGAGACCTCAACTTAACATGGCCATGATCATTCAGATACCTACAGTTCAGTAGGAAAAAACATGAGAAAAATGACCTTGAAAAATTAAAGGCCTCTGTCAGGAAAACCCTTGGTCTGGTATTTTAGTGACCTTGACATTACCTTAACCTATCTCTACCCTCAACTTGATAAGATTATAGTCATCCAGATTCCCTCAGTTCTGCAGAAATAAGCGTGAGAAGGAACATATGATCTAAATATGAGTTTTGAATTGAAGTGGCTCGTGATAGATTCTTCTACGACTGTGATTAACTTTAGTGTTCCATAACAGAAAATTTATAACCAAGTTATACATAGCGATAAGCGTTTTGTAGTCAGTTACATGGATTTATAGCATGCTCATGAACTTCAAATATACTACATCGAATTTCATTTCATGCAAACATTTTCTTTCAGTGAAAGAATAGCGTTTACACTCCAGAATACTTCCGGAATTCGAAAAGTGGACTTAACTCTCATGGGTGGGGAGTGCGAAGTGAATTGTAACGGAAGCATCAACAACTGCAATGTTTCCACAGAAGATCGGTCGATGGAAAACGTAAGCCTCTTTCAAGTAACCACAATGTTAGCAATGTGTTCAGAATTTCATAGCATACAATTGCTTTAAAATAGGTCAGCATTCATGAATTTACTCTTACATATTGCAAAAAACTTTCACTTAGTCGTCTACTGCAGTGGTATTCAACCTGGGGTACGCGTACACCCGGGGGTACGCGAAGACATCTTAGGGGGTACGTGAAATTTAAAAAAAAATTATTTTATGATAAACACTGAATAATCAGTAATGTAATTTATTTAATTTATTTTAGATGTAGATTATATACTATGTATAACTTGAATTATACACCAACAACTTTGGGGGTACAAAGTTGAAGAGAAATTATATCTGGGGGTACGCGAAGACATCTTATGGGGTACGTGAAATTTTTTTTAAAAAAAACTATTTTATGATAAGCACTGATTAATCAGGGCCAGATTAATACATTATTTTGGATGTAATTTATTTAATTTATTTTAGATGTAGATTATATACTACGTATAACTTTATTTATACACCAACAATTTTGGGGAAAACTGTAAATTCTAACAGTGTTATTGATTAGATTTCAGGTTCCCACTGCAGCAACTATGAATAAGATGCTTGTCTTCTGGGTTACAGTGTCGTGTAGTTCGATACAAGTTTACCGACGTTCCATCATGAAAGAGATCAGCACTCTGATTATGTACGCAACAAGCAACTCTGAAACGTCGGTAGACGTCTACCGGACTAGGCTTTGTAACGACCCGGAAGAAAAGACACGTTCAGAATGCCCATAGCAGCGTTTATCACAGCAATATATGTTGCTGACGAAATCAGCCTGGTTGCCAAATATGAGGCACTGATTCTTTTCTTCTTCTCCATTTTTTTCCAGTTCTCAGAGCCGCAGTTCTTCACCAATCTGACAGCTCGCTACTACTGTATTCGCGTAAGTACAGTCTACAGACCAGGAGAAAATCCCTGCTAGGAATTCGATATACGCGCATGCGCAAGATTTCGCGGTGAATGACGACCCATCCTAAAAACATTCGTTCCACAACCACTGAACGAACAACAGACGACAGGCTTTCATGTGTTCTAATGGGTACAGCTTTAAGATTACCTCACAGAGGCACAGCGATTTAATCTAGAATATTATCGCAACACCCACAGAACACATTAGAGGTGCGCTCACTACACGCTACTCTTAACTGCTTGATGTTTTCAGTCTGTGTAGTAGCGTAAAACTGTGACGTATCACACTTCCCACCAATAGCAGCCCTCTAGTCCAGCTGATAAGTAACATTCCCCCAGCAGGGTTTTTACTCGTGATCTGTGGACAGTACATGCATACACTCTTGAACCTGCATTGCACAGATGTACCAAATAAGTCGGGAATTCATCTACTATCATACGACCGACACGGGCTGCGTAGTGATTAATTTATTTCCCGGTTTTCGGCTGGCTACTGTTTCCGCTTCGGCGTGCAATCGTGGTGCGTTCCACGTTAAATGGGACAAATAAAATTTCATTTGGCCTCACATGCTTTTTGGGGGTTGGAAGGGATACAGATCTGTGTACTGTCATAAGTAAAATTGAACATCTCTTAGTTTTAACGGTCGTTATTTTATGAGAAAACATAAAGACGATTGGATGCTTGCCCGAGTTTATAGATCACTACAGAAGTGGCATAGTGGTCACTGTACTTCGCTTACCGAAGATTATTTTATGGTCAAGGAGGTCTAAAGTTGATGCATGATGAGAAGCTTAAGATATTATTAGCATGATCAAATGAAAAATGATCTAACGGAAAAGGGTTAGACGGTGTAGATTGGATTAAAGTGGCTCATGATGAAGACCGGCAATAAAACTTCGGATCACATAAAATTCGAGGAATTTGACTTGTTCAGTGCACTATAAGCTTCTCAAATACTCTAAACCAGTGGTATTCAACCTGGGGTACGCGAAGAAATCTTAGGGGGTACGTGAAATTTAAAAAAATATATATTATTTTATGATAAACACTGAATAATCAGTAATGTAATTTATTTAATTTATTTTAGATGTAGATTATATACTATGTATAACTTGAATTATACACCAACAACTTTGAGGGTACAAAGTTTAAGAGAAATTATATCTGGGGGTACGCGAAGACATCTTAGGGGGTACGTGAAATTTAAAAAAAATATATATTATTTTATGATAAACACTGAATAATCAGTAATGTAATTTATTTAATTTATTTTAGATGTAGATTATACACTATGTATAACTTGAATTATATACCAATAAATTTGGGGGTACAAAGTTGAAGAGAAATTATATCTGGGGGTACGAGAACAAAAAATGGTTGAATACCACTGCTCTAAACCATGGAGAGAGAGTAAATTTTGAACATTAATGTAAAATATAAATTACGCTATGCATAATACTTTGTTAAAGAAAACATATCAGTTAATCTTTCTTTAATTATCAGGTTCAACATGGAAAAAACTGTGTCATCCACACAACTACAATTAAAAAGGAAGACCCACGTACGTATAATACAACTAATCTTAACATTTAGTAACATTAATGTTACTGTTCTGTTATTTATATTGTAAGCATATTTCCAGAGCAGCATCGCAGTTAGTGGCTTTCTGCAGTGTTTCAGAACACACACGATTATTCTGTGAGATCTTTTTCAAAGACACGTGAAAGGATTTCCACGTCGAAGCAGTAAATCACAATTTGCTTCTGATCAATATGAATATTTCTGATGTACGAGGCGCGTCCCAAAAGTAAGTTTCCCACTCGTCCCACAGCTAGCAAACCTTATATTGCGCGAAGCGACTGTGCGTACGTGATAGAGCAATGACGTAGCATGGCGCGCTGAACAATACCATGCACCACGAAGTTACTTCCTTAGCTGATTGGCCGGTTCATTGGTTTACGTAGTTAGGAACGTAGTTCGTTTATTTGCACAGTAAATACTTGGACAATAAAATTGTATGAGCCTACTGTAAGGACGACCTTTTAAGGGCTACGACGTTCCTTCCCTGGCAGCTGGGAGATCCAGTATAATACGTACTGGTGCTCTTAGCGTCAAGATGTCCAATAGTGTGGCTTGACAGATGAGCGTTCAGAATGTAAAGGAGGACAAGCCACGAGTTAAATGTACCCTGTACAAATGAACAAGACGGAGCCTGACATTTGCAAATGCAGTAGTACTTCAAGGCTGACTCGTGGATTACTTAACGACAGTGTATTAACTGCATACAAATATTAAGATTATTAAACAGTACTGCGTGCATTGGATCTCAGCTAAAATCTCAATTATCAGCATGTTCTACGTCCTTCTCTCTCCATAAAAGCACGACAGACTTCGGTGTTCTGTAAGATAAGCTAAAGTAAAATTAATTAGTACTGATTGCTGCAGACCAACGAAGATACATAATGATAATTTCACCCGTTCCTTTAGTGCGGCCGTGAAACGTCTCTCACTGTGACAAACCCCTCACAAGTATATTCGAAGCCATTACGGCTTGAGTAAGTGCAGAATGGAAGATATAACACAACGAGAAACTTCGAGATTTATTCAGGTCACCGGGTAGTTTAGAAATGTCACATTAATTCTAACTAATAAATTCTTGGAAATTTATTCTGCAAGAACGGAAAGCTCCCTGAAGGCGAATACTGCAATGGATACGCTTAAAAGTGTTACTTGAAAGTTATTCGGCGGGTCGAAAAATTTGTTTTTAATGATATCTAAGATTCGTTATAGCGTTTCCAAAATCCACATCTGGATAGTTTTTTTTTCAGCCAGATAAGTCTAGCTCGCATTTTAACAAACTGTTCTTCCATGATACAGCGAGAGCCCAATATTATTCTTTCACTGTCTCATTCCTTCTTATTTCACAGTGCCAACCACAACTACATGTGTCTGGACAACTTACGAGGCGCGTCCACAAAGTAAGTTTCCCACTCGTCTCACAGCTAGCAAACCTTATATTGCGCGAAGTGACTGTGCGTACGTGATAGAGCAATGACGTAGCATGGCGCATGCACTAACGGTACTTCCCGCGTTCTCACAGTAGCATCGTTGCAGCTGTTGAAGATGGAGGTTCTTATTCCAGCTCCCGCCGACTGTGAAGTGCGGTCAGTGATAACGCTAGGCCGCACACGGCTCGACGGACAGCAAGTCTCCTGCAGGAGTTTAGCTGGGAGGTGTTTAATCATTCACCCTCCAGCCCGGACCTCGCTCCCAGTGATTTCAATCTTTTCCTACACCTCACGAAATTCCTGTCCGGTCAGCGTCAGCGTTTTGAGAATGACAGAGAGGCGGAGATGGTTGTCACACAGTGGTTCCAATCCCAGGCGGCAGACTTCTACGACACAGGTATTCCAAAGTTGGTCCCACGGTATGACAAATGTCTCAATTCCGGTGGCGAATATGTTGAAAAATAGCTGGACACTTGCTGTATCTGTTGCAATAAATATTTCCATGAAATTGTGTTTTGTTTCTGTAAACGGCCCCAGGGAAACTTACTTTGTGGACGAGCCTCGTATAAAGTGGAACTTTCGCGGCGATTGAGGAAGAGATTGTTTATTCACCGTTCAGCCACCTGACGCAGGGTTGTAATCCGAGAATCTTTCACCATGAATATTTCTGTTTCAGCACAACTACCGACACCCAACCCCCAAGAGCAGTCAATCCACTCAGTTCTTCTTTGTTCCATTTTTCCGGTGGCAGCGATCATTTTGATGGTTATATTTTTGAAGAAGAGGTGTAGTTATGGTAAGAATATAAAGAGTGATCCATAAATCAAGCAATCCATTTCTAACATGTTCCATTTGGGGGGGGGGAAGGAAGCCTACAATTAAATAAAAAACCAATGTTTTACTCATGTCTGAAGCAACAGAGTGAAGAATTCCTTATTGACGGATATGGTTCACTAGATGAGGTGTTATCGATCTGTTTGTCACAGCAGATTCGGAAGACGAATCCCGTAATTTATTCTGAGAAGTTCAAGACGCCAGATAGGGTTCCATTCACCGGACGTTCATACAAAATTTTATGAAATGCAATCGGCTGTTTTAAAGCTTATTATTCGAGAGTAACATACACATATACAGGCTGATGACATGATAATAACTAACTAACTAGATGGCTTACGGAACCCGAAGGTTCATCACCGAATTAACCAAAGCCCTCCACTGGACCCTGTCCTGGGCCAACAAAATCCAGTCTCCTTCAACTCCTATCTCCCATAGATCCCGCCTCACATTATCCTCCCATCTACGTCTAGGTCTCCCCAGAGGTCTCTTCCCCTCAGGCTTCCCAAATAGTGGACCCAACCAACTAGATGGCTTAGGGAACCCGAAGGTTCATCACCGAATTAACCAAAGCCCTCCACCGGACCCTGTCCTGGGCCAACAAAATCCAGTCTCCTTCAACTCCTATCTCCCATAGATCCCGCCTGAGATTATCCTCCCATCTACGTCTAGGTCTCCCCAGAGGTCTCTTCCCCTCAGGCTTCCCAAATAGTGGACCCAACCAACCAGATGCCTTACGGAACCCGAAGGTTCATCACCGAATTAACCAAAGCCCTCCACCGGACCCTGTCATGAGCCAACAAAATCCAGTCTCCTTCAACTCCTATCTCCCATAGATCCCGCCTGAGATTATCCTCCCAATCTACGTCTAGGTCTCCCCAGCGGTCTCTTCCCCTCAGGCTTCCCAAATAGTGGACCCAACCAAACAGATGGCTTACAGAACCCGAAGGTTCATCACC